ACAGCAAAAGGACTGGGAATGACTGGTCACTATGACACACACTGACCACCAGGGGGCAGACACTCAATGCAGGAGCTGCCCTCTGGTGGTCAGTGCGCTCCCACAGGGGGAGCTCTGCTCAGCCACAAGCAAGGCTGATGGCTGCCAGGACAGCGGTGGTGGTGGGAGCCTCTCCTGCCTCCTCAGCAGCACTAAGGATGTCCGACTGCAGCTTAGGTCTGCTCCCCGCTGGCAAGTGGACATCCCCCGAGGGCTGCCGGGCTGCCAGAGGGATGTCTGATTGCCAGCATAGGCCCAATCCCCCGGGAGCAGGCCTAAGCCAGCAGGTGGTCATCCCCTGAGGGGTCCCAGACTGCAAGAGGGCATAGGCCGGGCTGAGGGACCTTCTCGCCCCCGCCCCCCCCCAGTGCACAAATTTTTGTGCACCGGGCCTCTACTTAGTTAATAAGAGTGATTATTTGTCCTTTTAATATTTATGTTACTGGATCCCTCCAGCTTTTTTTTAAAATAGTAAATTTGCAACGAGGAATAATATATCTCTTATATTATTCATAAGTAATGATGGCTTGTGAAATTGAGTGATATAGAATAATTGGTAATGTGTGTGAATCTGTATACAATTTTATTTTTAAAATATATATCTTTGTTTATTAACGACCATATGCCTTACCATCCCTAAATGAGGTCCTAAAGACTAGGACCTCAGGTTCTCACTATCCTTCTAACCACTGCTCTTTCCATTATACGCTGTCTCTCTTGATCTGTAAGAATTGGGACTTTAGGGTTTTTCTTGAGAAATAAGAATTTGATTCAAGAAACCATAATAGGACTTAAAGAAGAGAAATAGCAGGCCCAAAGGGGCATGTTAGAAGAGAGTTTGGCAACACTGGGAAAGTGAGAAGAGAGCTAATGATGGTAGAATCTGATGGTTCTGCAAGGTAGGCCTTTAATCTCAGGTAAGAGGTTAATAGTGCATGGAAAAAGAAGAGAAACATAAGTTTTGTTATTGTAAAAAGAATCATCATGGTTTTTGATGGATGCATTGGATATATGCAAATAAAGACTAATAATTCAGCACCTGTGTTGGATATCACTCTCTATGACTACATTAAAATTTTGATCTTAAAGAAGCTTGGCATTTATATTTTAGGACCGTATTATAAGCACCTATTTGATTGGCTGGATCACCCCATTGGTGCTGTCTTTGTGAGGAAGGCACTGTGAGGACTCGGGTGGGAGTATCTGGTTTGAATCTGGGTTCTGTTACTTACAGAGGCAGGTTGCCTGACCTCTCTGAGTCTCAGTTTATTCATCCATAAAATGGGGATGAGTGAGTGGCAGTGAGGATCAGCTGAAATAATAGACACAAAGTCCCTAACCTAGTAATTGACATGGAGAAGGTTCTCAGCAAAAGCTAGAATCTCTGTCCCATCTCTCCTTTGTCATCTATCCTCTGTGGCTGCTGCTGTCAGGAAGCTGACATCAAGGTGTGGGTGTGCTGTAAGTCAGGGAGTTCCAGATCCTTTATTATTTCCTTAGAAGAGAAAGTGTAGGCTCATGGTGTCATCTAATTATAATTTATTTATCCCTTTTTACACTCAGGATTCGTTTCTGTTGTGGTTGCTGTTTTATTTACACTGTACAGTTGCTAGAAATGGAAAGCAAGGAATCATGATTTGAAATTCAAATAATGACTTTCAGCAAGGGTTCTGCCAAAGACCTCCGCTGTTGTGGATGTGCATCCTAGGAGATGCGCTTTCTTAGAGTAGCCTGCAAGAATCCTGAACGAAAATATGAGAATCATAGTTTGACATATCCCTGTTTGCTTTCCATGAGAAGGAAAAGCCTATCTGTGGTCACGACAGAGGTATCAGACCTCCGAATGGGGATTTTCTTGAGGACATCTAAAACGCCACTTACTCACTGTGTGATCCAAAGTAAGTACCAGACAGGAGTGCTGAGAGAACTGAAGAGGCAATGTGTAAATCACTTTCTGCAGCTTCAGGCACACACTAGATCAGGGGTGGGCAAACTTTCTGACTCGAGGGCCACAATGGGTTCTTAAACTGGACCGGAGGGCCGGAACAAAAGCATGGATGGAGTGTTTGTGTGAACTAATATAAATTCAAAGTAAACATCATTACATAAAAGGGTACGGTCTTTTATTTCAACAGTTTGATTCATTTCAAACGGGCCGGATGTGGCCCGCGGGCCGTAGTTTGCCCACGGCTGCACTGGATCCTCAATAAATGCTTGTGTCTTTCTTTTCTCCCACTCTCTGAGACAAGAGTTCCTTTTCACTAACATATACACTGTGGAACCGAGCTGTGTGCTGCTTGCTCATTAGAGTTTGATAGCCTTTCCTGGCCTTTGTGAACTTCTAACAGCAGATGAGGTATTGCTGCCTCTCAATGACTAACCTGATCTAGGCAGACTAAACATTTATGAATAAGTAGATTTTAAGAATTAGGAAAAACTTCATGTGGTAAATACTAGATGTCTTTCCCCTGATACTTTAGTGTTTTGTGTGTGGGAGGTCATTTGGGAGACGTAGTTTTTCTTTTAAAAATATTTAAAGGAAAATAGAAGCAATCAAGCAAAATTCTTCTTTCTTAAAGTTATTATACTTAGAATGAAAATACGGGAGTAGATGAGAGGAGATCTGGTAACAAGGCCAACAACAATTCCTGTGTCATTGAATTTTACTCCTCTTGCAAATGGCCTGTGTAATTTTGCTTTGCCCTATCTTTCTTATAACAATAGTAATAAAAATAATAACAACAATTTTTACATTTTCCCAGCATTCCTAAGTTGACCCTGTTATTGAAGTATGATGTTTCAAAATTAAAGACAAGATTTTCATTAAAAAAACATGAAATAAACATGTGCCATATATTTTAATTCAACTCATCTATATATAAAAGCCAAGCGACCAAAACGACCAGAACAACCGGAATGACCAGTCACTATGATGCGCACTGCAGCCGGCCAACCACCCCAATTGGGAGGCGCGGCTGGCCGGCTCACCTTCTGCGGCCCCTTCCCCGGGCCAGCCCGCCCTGATAGGCCCCAATTGGGGTGGGCCAGCTGGACCCCACCCATGCACGAATTCATGCACCGGGTCTCTAATTAATTCATAAGGTCTTAAAACTGATTCAAAGTGTAGTTGAGGATCTGGGTGTTTGTGACTACTTAATAAAGGGATTTTAGAGTAAGCTTGCTGATTTAGATCCAAAACTGGTTAATGTCCCACAGGATCATAAGCTATAAACTTTTGAGGTTCAACTTTCCGTTGAGCAGAAACTATTTTCATCTCTTACAGACAAAAATCTTCAGGTTAACCCCCATCTCTGTGGAGCTGTAAGTAGTCAGTGGATAGGAAGCCAATCAGAAGTGCAAGTCCAGCACTGCCCTAAAGGGGACGCCCAGGAATCTCTTTTGTCCCTTCCTAAGTTTTGGTGACTTTTCTCTGTCTTTGCATTGAAAGGAATCATTAAGACTTATTCATTTGTGCAAGGTTATATTTTTGATTTTAGGAAGCAAATTCGCATAATGTGATATAAAACCTAGCCATAGAAAGTGCTATACGTGAGTATATGTTTTAATGCCCAAATGTTGACGTTTCATAGAAACGTATTTGGTAACGCCATTGGGTGTGGGTATGTTGAGAAGGCAATGTTTGTGGGGCTTCTATATTCTTGAATAAGTTGTGTTTTAGAAATTAGATATGGAAATATTGAATAATGGACCCAGTCGTGGCTCTCAGGATCCTCTTCTTTTTTTCTGAAGTAACTTTCTCCCCATTTTGGTTGCCTCTTTGGGTTTGTTTCTGTATAGTGAATAGATCTGCTATGACTCCCAGTCTTTGTGGGGTTGCCTTATGTAGTAGTTTCTTGTGGGGTCCAGTGGTGCAGTCTCCTTGATCACCTGAGCTGGGTACTCCAGGAATGTTTCATGTTTGGCCCTCATGCTGTAATTGAGACTTGCTTGCTATTGGTCCATTCATGTGTGGGATTGACCCTCAGGCTGGCTGACTGTGAGGATCAACCCCAGCCATAGTTTGTAATCTACTGTGCGGGTGCCGACGACCCGAAGTGGAGTTTACCTCAGCAGGTTTTGGTGCCATATCTCCCTCTGGGTATGCCACTTGCAAAGCTTATTGGGCCCTGATCTGATGCAATCTGATGCTGGCCACGGGGTGCATTGGTTCTGGGTCTCTTGGGAGGAACTCTGGTGCAGGGCAATGGAAGACGCTGCCTGTGGAGGGCCCTTGGCGACCTGTTTGGAGCTACAAGTGATCCACAGTTTGTGGCTGCCTCCTCTGGGCCTGGGTGCATGTGGGAAGGACCAAGCTGTGCACCAAGGCCCGCTTTTACCAGCACTGGGCCAGGGGGCAGGTCAACAGCAAAAGTCCCATGATTATGTGCTGGGGCCTTGTTTTATTTGTCTTTGTATTTCTGGATACCCAGTACTTAGCATGGGGCCTTGTGTAGCCCAGTGCCCCTTCGAGTATTTATTCAGTTGAAAGAAATATCATTGGAAGATGGTGGAGGCAAGCTTACCATATGCCTAACTCCAGTATTTCTAATACCGTCCCTATGGAGTAGGTGAATACTGTAGTCAAATAACTTTGGTTCGCCGCTTAACAAAAATTTGAGCACCTATTATGTATCAGGTATTGTGCCAGATGCTTTGGACAAAAGGACAAGGAGTAGCTTTTGTCTTTAAGTCTTGTGTCCTATTGGGGGAAACAGATACAGTATGTAAATAAACAAATTCAACCTAGCATGACACTTGCTCACGGTCACACAGCCTGTGAGTGGTGGACCTGTAATTGAAATCCAAGTGTGTTCAGCTCCAAAGCCACCAAGCCAAGATGCTTCCAGAACCAAAAAACTAGCTAGGCTGCGAGTGAATTCTCAGAGGAGCAAAACAACAGCTTTGCTCTATTATTTGAAACCATTATTAAATCAAACCATTTTGTTGTATTTGCAAATTAGGTCCTTCAGAAGCTTGGAAAAGCTGATGAGACAAAAGACGAACAGTTTGAAGAATATGTACAGAACTTCAAACGGCAAGAGGTAAGTGCATTTATCTAGTTTATGGGGTGGAAATGGGTGGACAGTGTTTGTGGTTTAGCATGTAGCTAAAATGCTTTAAGGTTGAAGAAAGAACTTCATTGGGCTTGGTGTTAACCTGAGGGTAAAGCTTGTCAGTTCTGTAAGACTTTCCTGTGGAGGATGAAAGAAGAGGCAGTAGGCACTGCAGAGAGATTTGTGTTTCTTCTCAGGAGAATAAGACTTCCCTTCTCTGGAGCTTTTTAATATAGTTTATTGATTTATAGGAAAGATAATGTTTTTGGTGATTTATATTCCACTAACTATTAGCAGTAGTTAGATACTTTTGGCAAAATTACTTTAATTGCTGCCTGCTTCAAGATCATGCATTCTCAGTGGGGAGTATATCTCCCCCACGAGGGTGAAAATTGGTTCTTGGTGGATGAAAAAATTGTACTGGTTTTATGTGCATATATTACATAACCAGATTTATAGTGTATCTGTGGTATTAAAATTTCATGGGGCGGGGGGGGGGGGGAGTTGACATTAGAAAAATGTCGTAAAAAGCTCATCAGAGGAGGCCATGATGGAAAAAGGTTGAGAAACACGATTTGTTGCTGGGGTCCAACCCCAGCAGGTCCAGGGGTCCCCAAAGGTGTGGACGGAGTCGGCGAAGAAGGAATGACACAGAGGCAGCGTTCTGGTGATCATCATAGCTGGGTTCTCTTGTCAGGGTCTCCAGCCAGGTTCTGTAGCCAGTTCTCCAGCCAAGTTTTCCAGGTTCTCCAGCCAGGTTATGTCACCAGGTTCTAGTCAGGTTCTCTTGCCATGTTCTATCCAGGTTCTGTAGCCAGGTTCTGTCTCTAGGTTCTTCAGCCAGGTTCTCTCGCTAGGTTCTGTCTCTAGGTTCTGTTGCCAGTTTCTGTCCAGAATCTTTTGCCATGTTCTCTCCAGCGAAGTTCTTCTGTCTCTAGGTTCTGTGTAGGTTCTGTCTTCTAAGTTCTGTGTTGTTACATCTGTATTTATACAGTTGATTCCAATCCTATCAATCTCTATTCCAAAGGTTAGGGCGTTTCTTATCTCCATTCCAGGGAGTAAAGATTATGTAGCTTAAGCATGATTGTTCATAGTTAAAGTGATTAATTACCCGCCTGGCACTTAGTTAAGAGGTTTTATTCCCTCCCTAACTTCAGGGGAAAATCCCTACCTGGGGAAACAACCTTTCTCAGAGACCTTGGTTAAAACACATAGTGCCAAGAAGGTGAGCAAACATATTAAGAACAGTATGCCGTATATGCCAGGTCCCTTGAAACAGCAAGGATGGACTGGCTCCCGGCAATTTGTGATACTTGTTCCTTTAATGGGCTGCTATGTGTTTAACAGACACGTGAATAAAGGCACAGTTTTTAAAATTATTTGTTTATCTCTCTAAGGCTTGGGTAATTGATTAGCATATCACTCTTTAGAGGTCATGCATGAGGGTCAGGTAGAGGGAAGATACAGGTGGGGTCTCTGCGGTTTGAAGCTTCAAATCTAGAGTTCATTCTAGAGGTGAGAAGAAAGCTGGGCCTTAAGAGGCTTTCCAGGCCCTCTGGAAAATGTTCGGACATGGGACAATGTAAGGACATGGGTTTATGTTCCTGCTGTCATTGTAGCTACCAGTGTCCACAGAGGAAATTGTAAATATTAGGGTGTTGCTGTCCATGGTGCCAGATGCGGGGGGAGGGCAAAAATGTTCATTGAGGAACATTTATCTTTTATCCTCTTTACTCTTTTTGTTTCTTTCCATCTACAAGAATATCTCCTCAGTTATGGCCTGTATACATTAAAAGCTTTAGTTGAAACCTAACTAAAATGTGACCCAAATTACTGATGTTCCAGGCAGCACTGTTGTGCCACTTCCTAGGAAGCCATTAGGAATTTACTTCTAGTGGAAGCTCTTTTTGTTATTGCTCTGAAGATTTCCTTTCATCTATTCGATCCTGTTCCCTATTTTTAATTGTATTTTACTTTACTTAACTACATTAACCAACATGCCAACGGGGGTTAAACCCTCCGCATTCATTTAGAGACCAATTCCATGTATCTTCCACTTCTCCCTGTGAAGTGAGCTTATTATCTGAGTTTGGATGTTCCTCTCTAAATGGTCCCCAGATTGACTGCACCGTTCTGGCAATGGGATGCAGAGAATTAGGCATATCGCTCATCCAAGCCTAGGAGACCGTCTGAAGTGTTGTGAGCATCTGCATAGACGAGTTGCAATTGAAGCTCAGATTCGCATCAATATTGTTGGTTCCCATTGCCTGTGATTCTCATATGTCACCCTGTAAGCCCCATGGCTGATTTTGCATTAGAGCTGCCATCTAAGTGATGAAAATGTGTTATAAGGAATGTCTTATGGTGACTGACTGAGATCTGGAGCCAGACATATTTTAAGGGATTTTTTGGTCACCTCGTACTAGTGTTACATACTAGAGTGTCTGTCAACACATTTAGTCTTAATTAAGTGATAGACACAGTGCAAAATTATAGGAGAGGTTTCCACATAACTATCGGAATTGCCTGGAGGACTTTTAAATATACTGATTCCTGGGCCCCACTCCAGACTTCTGAATCCGCTCACAAATTTGACTTGTGTCTCTAAAGAGCTATCATATAAGAGTAACAATTTGAATGTAAACCTGAAATTATACTGATATAGTAAAGATAATGGCGTCCTTAATTGCACATCTACTATGTTTCCAAACCTGGACAATTATAAGAATCTTCTGAGGAGCTTTAAAAATTTACAAATTTCAAAGCCACACCTGAATGGCTTATATAAAAGCAGCAATGAAGTATTTTTATTCTGAAGACTTTCCATAAGTAGGCATTGGCATTTATAATGTGTTTTGTACACTGTTCTACTCGATTCTCCTAGCAATCTGTAATTGTAATTCTGCTTTATGCATAAGAAAACCAAGTATTGTTACAAAAACTTTTATTTTGAGAATGATCTTGATTATTCTTTCGGCCATGGTATTCATTGCTTTCTTATTTCCTCACAGTAATGTTATGACATTGGCTTGATTTTTCTCATATTCATTGTTAAGTGGTTCTTATATATCTGCATAAATTATTTCTTTGTACTCTAAGATCTTTTATCACTGCAATATTTAAAGATATAAACACAAACTTTCTGGAAATGTAACTGTGTATTTGAGACTTAGAAGTATAAATGAAACACAAGGGGACATTCTAAGATTCCAATTAACTTGTTTTGTGGCGGTTTTGTACATTTCTCCTGAAAATATTCCTTTGTAACATGACATGTAGCAGAACTTAGTTAAGCTTTTATGAAACAACCACTCTTTGCACAGTTTATCACTTAAAAAGTATCAGATAGACAGAGTCATCCAACATTTATTGAATGTGCTCTGTGTCTGGTACTTTACATGGATTGTCCCCCCCTGATCTTCATGAGAGCCCCAGGAAGTGAGTGATGTTATCTTCATTTTACCGATGAGGAACCAGAGGTCCAGAGCAGTTAAGTGTTGCCCAAAGTTGCTCAGTTAGAGGTAGCAGAGCTGCTATTTTAAAGCCAGGCAGTGCAGCCCCACAGCCCACTGACTTCGCCACTGTGCGCTATGCGTCCCATGTAACATACTCTGGAATCATGAGAAAGAGTGAACAATTGGTGGTTTTGTTTATAGAGTAGAACTGCATCATGAGAGCACAGAGAATGCCTTTGGCTAAATTATTCTTATTGATGGGCAGTTGATTCCACTGGGACAGTCTCATGCGTCCACAGTTGGCATCCATGCCTTTAAAGCCTGGGGCATAGAGGACAGTGGTCAAGCATATGCGCTCTTGAGGCAGATTATGGGATTTAAATATCCCAGACTGCCCAGGCTTGCCATCTGCTAGATGCGTGACCTTTGGGCATATTTCTTAGCCTCTGTGCCTCAAGTTTCTCATGTGTAAGAATGTGCCAACATGAGAGAGTTATTGGGAGAATGATGGGTTAATAGACCTTTGAGACTTAGGACAGTCTCTGGAACAAAGGGACTACTTAGTGTTAGACTTTATTGCTATATTAAAGGTTTGCTTTGAGGACAGTGTTATGACTGAATTATGTCTCTCCTAAATTTACCTATTGAAGTTCTAACTAACCTCCAGTACACCTCAGAATGTGACTGTATTTGGAAACAGGTCCAGTAAAGGGGAAGTTAAGATCAAATGAGGTCATATGGAAGGATTCTAACCCAATGAGACTGATGTTTTCATAAGCAGGAGAGACACAGGGATGACCACATGCAGAAAAAGACCATGTGAGGACACAGGGAGGAGGAGGCTGTCTGCAAGCCAAGGAGAGAGACCGCAGGCAAAACCAAACCTGCCAGTACTTGGTCTTGGACTTCTAGCCTCCAGAACTGTGAGGAAATAAATTTCTGTGTTTTTTTTTTCAGCCACCAAGTCTCTGGTGTATTATTATAGCAGCCCTCATACACTAATACAGCATCATAAATGGCAGTTTCAGAAACATGTTGGCTGTTATATTATGACTGGAGTAATGAGAGGCAAGGCACTTCTTCCCTCCCAGTGATGCATCTCTGAAGCTTGATGTAGATGTTGTTTTTCCAGAACTTCCACATCCTGTCTCATTTGGACATGATAGAACATTGTCAATAACGAGCTGGCATCCGTATCCCCAGAAAGGGACATTGAACAGTACACCTCAGGAAGAGTTATTGTTGGGGTGGAACACCTGTGCAGTTTGCCTTAATTTCTAGGTCAGTCTCTCCCCGACTATATTCAATTCTGTGCTCTAGGTATTAAGGCAAAAGTTGAAAAGAGTTTGTATAATTCCCCTAATGTACCTCATAAGTCAAGTCTCTTCATACACAATGAAAGGGGGAAAAATTGGAATGGCTCTTCAAGGGTCACAAACTCAATTGCCTAACGGCAATAAAGCATATCTTCAAATTGTATGCAGCCAGCATGGTGTGATGAGTTGAATGGTTCTAACTAGGCAGTTCCATCCC